GAGCTCCACCCCACTGCCATAGGCCAGTCCATGCCCTGCAGCTTGCCCTTGCTCAGTCCCTGCCTTGAAAAACAGTATTGTGGGGTGTTGGCTGCCTAGGAAGTTATTCTTGTGCGCTCCGGGACTATTAGCCTCCTGCAGGATGAATTTCTGAGCTTCTTTTCATGCATCTCCAAAATGTTCTATTTAAAGATTTTTGGTGATGCTGCTGTTGGTCTTTTTTTTTTTTACCACCACAGGTAAATTGGAAATCCAGGCTTTTTCTGTCATATTTTCCACCGGAACTAAGATGCAGTGGTTAAAAGCCAACTAGGACCTCACTGCAAAATGACGTGCATTTTATTCCCATGGTTTGTCCATCATTTTTGCGCTGGCTGTGAGGAGGGCAGGGGGATTGCCACACAAGTCCAAGACATGCAGCCAGAGTACCACGTCGGCGGCCATCCCACGGTCCCTGGCGGATGAGGGACTCCCATCTGCTCTCCCAAATCTCCTGGACACCCTGGGTGTTAGGTGCTTAGAGCCTGCCTTGGTGCTAGTCATTTCACACCCTGGTCGCCAGCTCTCCAGGCACACGTACAAGGTGAGGAGGACCCATGTCTGTCCTCTCCCTTCATCCCTCTCCATCGTTTTTTATAAAAAGGGGTTTTTTTTAAGGTGGAGCTGCTGGAAGGCTGGCGGGCATCTCCCTGTGAGAAGCAGTCTTGAGGTCCCCGGGTACCGGGCTCGCTGAGTCCTGCTGGTAAGGGACTGCCGGCTAAATCTGGGGCCAGGAGGCAGCTCAAGCCGCATCTGCTCTAACGGGCCCTGGTGAGTCATACCCACAGATGTCAGCTATGCAAAACCCACAAGCATGACACTGACTTTTATAAACAGGTTCACGAAAAAAAAACCCAACAACCCAAGCCCAGCAGACAGAGGAAAAACACTGCAAGCGCCTCCGCTCTCTGCTGCTTCACTCTGCCTGCAAACCCAATTGTGAAAGCAAATTCAAACGGCCACTCGGGGGCAGGGGATTTTTTTATTTGGGGTTTTGGAGCCTTTTTTTTTCACTTCTTTAGAGTTTACTTTTCTCTTTCAGTGATGCAAGGCTTGGGAGGTAGGTAGCTTCTTCACAGACCTGCCTGCAGCTGGCTGCTCTGTAAACGACTATGCATTAGTATGGCGCGCTGCTGAGCACTCAAACCGAGCCCATCCTCCTAAAGAGGGAAGTCATCAGCCCTATTCATAGCGCTTACACTCAATACCAGCTTGTGACACCGATACATGAACTGAATTTGTGCAAATCAGTTTTACTTATTTATACAGCAGCATTTTATAAAGAGCTGATAAAGCCGCTGAGAGTCTTTGAAACGCGGTTCTGGTACTTTATGGACTGTACAGCAAGTAGTACAGACAAATGAACATACAACATCTGAAATCACACACGATCTTGGGAAACAGTACATGTTATCTCGACACTGTGCTACAGTGGTGGTTTTTTTTTCTTTCTGTACATTAAGGTCAAAGTTTTCAAATGTACCCAGCTGAGCTGCTTTAAAATAACCAAACAAACAAAAATATATTTGGATGAAGCTTGAAATCCTTTTCCACTTCCAAGTTTTGGAGAGGACTTTGTTGGTACGGCCAGATGGGTGAACCCAGTTTAGACTGTAACTGGGAGCTACTCAATGCAGGAGATGGTGAGGCTGTGCCCCTGCTCCCCCTACCAGAGCCACATCTGTACCTGAGCCTGGGGCAGTACGTGGCTCCAACACAGCGTGAAGGAAGGTCCCAGAAACAGGACTGAAAAGGTTTTTTTATAATTTTCCTTTTTTTTTTTCACTTCCCAACAGAAGAGAAAAAAAGCAGAAAGCAAGAAAAGAAAAGCAACAGTGACACAAAAAAAAAGCAGCCCCGAGCTCCCTAGAAGTAGTTTCAATGCCAACTTTGTGGCAGTGATTGCAGCTGGGGTTGCCTGCTCTCTAGTGCACAAAAGTTGATTTGAGAGTTGTTTTCCTCCATAGCTGGCAGGGCCACCTCTGCTGAAGGCCTTATCGGTTTGCAGCTGGTTCCTTCCTCTCCCTCGCACAGATTCTCCAAGTGGCGCCTCCGGGAGTTTTCCTGGAAACAGCCACCTAAGTGTCCGAGAGGCTCCCTGGTTCATGTAGCCTCCTATCTTCAACCTCTCCGTTTGGGTGGGGTGGGGTGGGGATTTTTGTTTTAATATTTATAGCTGGGAAGGATGAAGGTGCAGAAAAACAGATGTTGTGGGATGCTATGATGTAGCAAGTGAGCAGCTTCGGGATCCTGCCGTTATCCTTTGGATTGATGAGCAGGGGCCACACAAGATTACGGCTATTGCCATAACCAGATGGGTCGTACTGATAATTTGGGATAGCAGTTACATGCATAAATAGCCTTGTGAACCTCCGGCTTCATTGGTAAGGCTGGATGAGTGAATGTGGCTTAGCGACAAAGGGTTTATGCATCCATGGCAAGCCTGCAATCAGGGACGTACTCAGCATAAGTAATTGAGGAACAGGGCCAACTTCTATTCATCCCCGGAGTGCCGTGTGCTGTTACTGAGGGGCAAAGAAGGGCTTGGTGAACATGACGGAGCCCTGGACCAACTCATCCCCGTGGGCAACGGGATGATTTTGGAACAAGTTGACTCATTTTCAGCATGTATGCGTAGGAAATGTGTGCTTCCCTAACAGCTCATTCCCGCTCACCGGATGCATGGCAGGGAAGACTCCATCGAGTGTGAAAATGTTCAGCTCAGAAGCTGCTCCCTGAAATGCTCACTAGAGGAAAGTGCCCAGGCAGAAAGAGGGCAGGTTTCCACGTATGACGCTGCGGGCGGGCGCTGAGTTCATATTTCGCATGGTAAGGTCCCGACCTTCACTGGAGCTGCTGGGTGCTGCCTTTACCAGAAGTCCTCTTATGCTCTGATGATGGGACTGACAGTCCTGCCCCTACAAGAAGTGTATGAGCTTGCCAGAAGCGTAACGTGGGGTGAGAGCAATTTATATTTCTAGGGGGGAGCAAGTGGGCCAAAGTGGGTTTCGGCCAAAAGATTGGGAAATTTCATCGTGCTTCTGTTGCACAGCGTTGATTATTTTTAACTAAAATTTAACTAAAATTTCACTAAAATTTCTAAGCCATAATGTGAGGCTTACTTGAACTGCCAACACGTGTGACCCAAATCTCTTTGGTGGGCAGCCCTGAAGCCCCCCAGATGCTCATGTGACCCAATAACCGAGGGAAAACATCCTGAGTGGTTCTACTGAGCTTGATGCAATTGCTTGCAGTAATAGAGCCACAAGCTTAGGCCAAAAGTGTTTGGCAGACCAGAGCTTAGGATTAAACAGGAGGGGGAAATGGATGAGGAAATGCTTTTCTGAATTTCAAAATGCAAGTTTTAATGTAAAAATCCTTTTATCTTTTTTTTTGGGGGGGGGGTTGTCCCCTCATGGGTGCACCCTAAAACTTCTGTATGTAGAAAAACAAATCCTGCCACACCCTGCACCCATTCACAGAGGTTTCTCCCCTCACCCCAGGCTGCCTGGTGAGGTTTAGGGGATGGCGGTGAGGTTTAAGAGATGGTGGTCAGGTTTAGGAGACGGTGCCACAGCCCCCCAACATCCCTCCCCGTGGCTGCCACTTGCATGTAGGAAACTCTTTGTTGTGAGCCGCTCCTGGTAGGTGGGAAAAAGAGGAGAAAAAGGGGAAAACAGACAAAAAAAAAAAAAAGGAAAAAAGGAAAAAAAAGGGGGAAGAGAAAAGAAAAAAGAAAAAAGGAAAAAAGGGGAGGAAGAGGAAGGAAAAAAGGAAAAAAGAAAAAAGGAGAAAAGAAAAAAGACAAAAGACAAAAGGGGGAGAAGAGAAAAGAAAAAAGAAAAAGGGAAAAAAGGAAAAATTAAAAAAGGCGGGGAAGGAAAAGGGGAAAAAAAAAAAGGAAAAAAGA